CAGCACACACACCGCGCACACACACACACACCACCTGTAAACCCGACAAGTACAGCAAAGTCCTGTTTTTTCTTGGCCTCTGCCAGCCACGCATTCAGTACTGGCCATCCACCATCCATGAACCTGTGGCATGTACAGTAGAGAGCAACTTGACACACTTTCGCTGAAAACCACAACAACTGAATGCGGTACGTGGGTCTAGATTGTTCATGCAGCAATTGAGCGTGCCAATTTGGAAGGACAAACAGTTGAACAGACGCCCAGACGGCATGCCAAAACACCACAACAACACACATCGTGCGTATAAAGCAGCGATGTGTTCCACAGTGGCTCAAACACACACTCACTGAACATCTTCCTCGTTCTATAAGTTCGGAGAAACGTTAGCAAACTGAACTGACTGTGTAGTATGTGTCGCATTTTTTCTGCCAGTTTTATCGCAAGGAGCAAAAAAAGGCCATGGAAACATACAACATCTTCCACAATGTATATACATAGGATGGTTCCAACACCACTAAATATGACCACAACTTTATCTCTGGTATGTGTACTAGACTCTGCTCACCACCCTGTTACAGTAAAGGGCTGGTATGAGCAGATACTGACTTACAAACATGCCTGGTATCTTTAATCTAAGATTTTGTGGTACATCTGTACTAGGAAGGTTCTCAAGCCCACTAATCAAATTTACCCTACTGACTATATACTGACTACTGACAGCACATCTAGTAAACCAGTCAACAAACAATCAGCAACTTCCTTAACCTTGGACTTGCTGATATGGAGTCACTCCTTTTACAGAGTGCACCCTCACTCTTTATGTGGTTTACCCAACTTTTCAGTTTACCTCATGTATTACCCCCAATTGGCCAAAAACCGAGCACGCTAACCTGTCAAGTGTGGATGGAGCTCTGGTGGCCTTGATGATGTTGAGAAGGACAATCCGGACCACCAACAACTGAGCTGTCTTCATCAGGCTGTAGTGGGAGACGGGGGAGAGAGAGAGAGAGAGGAGGGGGGAGATATGTGCCAAAAGGTTGTACAGTGTTTAGTCTTATGTTCTAAGTTTACACATGCCTCCATTGCGTCGTACTGCGCGGATAGAATCCTCACACATACTTACCAACACAGTATAGCACGACAGGGCAATGCGAAATATTGTCAAATGAGTTGTACATGGCGATCTGCTTAATCCAAATTAATCTGCCACGGCAATAAACATACTACCCAGCGGTGTAGCACTACCGGGGGAATTGGCAGTGAACCTTACAACGGCAGCTTAACTCAGGTACATGTACATACATACATACATGGTTTCTTTCAACGGTATGTTCAAAATAGACACACACACGCACACACACACGCACGAGAGGAAGGAACCACATAATTGAAGGCCCACAATAATCTAATCCAACGGTATATATAAGGAAATGACGCGATGTAATGTCCTCACACTCACAAAGCGGTATAAGGAAACCGATTTACCCAGTAGAAACTCAACGTGGAGCAGATAAAATGCACTGCACTGGATTCATCAGAATCGGGGATTCTAGTGAACTAATAATAAGCATATGATGCCACAAGGCTCGTGGCTTCTTTTTCCTGCTCTGCCTATGCTAACAACACCGCTAGCAACACCTCGTTCTATGGCAAGCTAAAAGCTAAACACCACGAACAGCAGAGTAAAGTTTCCAACCATTTGGCAAACATAAGGATGAGTGAGAAATATATACAGCTCACCAGCTTAATAATGTGCACAAGACAAGCAGACCACTCGCGGACGTGGTGACTGGCAAGATGCATACAAAAAACTGACAAGCGTTTCTTTGAGCATTCGTCATCACAAGCTTCTAAAGTACTATAAATGTCACTCCAGCGGGTAACTTGCTCTCTACTTCCATCTGTGTCCGTGAACAGTTTAAGCCATTCACAAGTACACTGTATGCGTCTCTCATAAAGGCACACCTGACTAATCCAGTTGCATGGTTGAAGGACATTAATATGAAAAGGGAGTCTTGCACGGTGACAGCTTGTCCCACACGGGTATCGTACACTTAGGCTTTTCGTAGAGAGAAAGAGAGACAAGACAATTAGCCCACCTCCCACAGGTAACATGCAACCCGTGTGTACCCGACCCTCACAATTAGTCGGGCAATGAACACATCGGTTTACGTGCTGTGTGTATACACTGTACGTATGTACCTGACAATCTTCCCAACTTCTTTGGAGCTCTGATGCACCCGGTCTGCCCCAGGAGAGGGTCCAACTGTTCCAGGACACTGTGTGGGTCAATGGCAGCCTGCAATAGGGAGTACGTACATGTACACACACGAGTAGAAAGAGTATACTTCCATATTGGCCCTTTGCCTCTAACTAATGTATGTAATTCTCTGGGTATGCATGTGTAGGGACATGCCACGACAGGAAGTATAGTAGTTGGCGCCATATCAGCGCCTGTAAGTCTTACCGTGGCGGCTGGTGCTTGAGCGCTTGCTGTTGTCGACATCGCGACGTAATGTCCTACAAAAGTAAAACAGAAAAACAGAGCTCCCTAACCATTTCTGGGTAGTGTTCTCAATCCCCTCTCACACTCACAAAAGCCATGCTTTCCCGGCGCCTCGACTTCAGTTCACGCGGGAGAGCTACGCGCGGCCCCTTCACCTTCCCTTTTTGCTGGCAGACTCGACCGACCGCGTGGCTACCAATAAGCTCGGCGGTGGCGCAGCCAGCTAGCCATTCACTAGTTGCTACACAACGCCGACAGTGGAAGAGGCATACAAACGGTAAAGTTCATGGCTTATGGGTGAATTCATTCAAGTTGTTATAGTTCACCCTCATGGCTCATACGCTAGCTATCTCCTCGCGACGGGGAACAGAATCACTTATGGAACCAAAACACATCTCACACAAACGGGAGGGAATCAATCGCTAACTTTTTCTCACCAGTCCACTCAAACGCAGTCCTAAAATCGCTTTTAGGACTACAATGTTCTTCTCCAGTAGGACGGGGCGCCGTACACACACACACGACTAGACAGTATCAGTAACCGACTAGAAGAGAGCTAGAGGTACTGATAAAAGTCAGAGCAGGACGTGTGATGGCCGCCTAAAGTCCCTACAACTGTCCGTTTCTGTTCTTGAATCTCTTCTTCTTTGTCGTCCAAGTGAACAGAGACAGTCGGTTGAGACTTTAATGTCTTCTCCCGGCCGTATTGTCTCCTGACCACCTCGGGAGAACGATAAATCCACCAGGTCTATAGAGCCCTTCTCTTTCCCGCACAAAGAGAGAGAACGAGGTCGCGTCACGTTGAGCATCACGCGAACACACGTGAGCACGCTAGCGTTGCCGGATGTGCGCATGCGGCAAGTTCATGCTCTCTCCTCGTGGAGTGTGCTTTTGGTATGGAGGAGATAATTACAGGCTACAAAAGAAACTGAGGGGGCTGAAAAAAGTTGTAAACCTCCAACATGGTAATCCTGGCATGCATATTGAAGTGCAATCAAAGCTGGCGGTAGTACTACAAAAAACTCCCTCCATTCCCATTTCTTTGGCTTCTACAGGTCATTTGTTTCTCGGAAGGGCTGTGAAGTACTGGAAACGTGAGTCCGTGCTATATTGTTATCAATCACTGCTGATTTGTATCCATAATCATATGCACCAGCTACCCTTCAGGAGTGACTGAAACAATAATTCTCTCTGAATTATACCAAGAGGTTAGCAGCACATTCCAGTAGCAGCTAGCTTTCAGAAGTCTTCAGTATATTAGGACTGGTGGACGGTTGGGCCTTACTCAAAGAAGCGTCGTCAGCAAAGTCAGCAGTTAGCTACTACACTGTTGCAGGCTCATAATCTGTTCATTCTGCAGTCAGTACTGTTGGAAGCATCCACGAACACCGTGTGATAGACTATGAGAGTTTATTGGAGGCTGTGTGTACGAGATTGTGGACCCTTCCAGGGACTACAACATGTATCCAGATGTCTGTATGCCAGGTTGTATTACATAGCACAATACTAGGAAAGTCAGTTAGCCCCAAGAGTTTTTGCATGCTGCACCTAATGAATTTAGTGGCAAGTGAACGCAAGCACAAAATTTTTGCATAACAGTATGTTCACTAAGTGGTGCAATATCTGCTGGGTATATTATCCGTAGTGTGGTACAGTAACTGCTATATAGAGTGGTACCATCTACTAAGATGACTAGGTGGGCCTCTCTCACAATACAAATGACACTCTTAATTGCTATGTGGTCAATATTGAGTAGCCCTAGAGACGTTTCTTAACGGACACATGCGGTAACAAGCCGTGATATCTCTGAAAGACGCCAGACATGGGGAGGGAGAGGAGGAGGATGGTGCTCGTCAGTGCTGGACATGTACCTCCATCAGAAAGTTCCAAAAGCTGCACAGAAATGCTGGTGGTATATACTTATGCGTCTATAGCAGTTGTCACATTATTATACTCACAGTGTATGCTATGTAAGTCCCAGTGGGACGCTTGCTTTCTCCGATGTTAATTCACCAACAATTTCATTAATGATTGTAGTTCTCCCTCGCTCCTCGCTCCTCACTTCTCCAGACCCACCCACACTGGAGACTGACCCGTCTGTACGGCTGAGAGCCTGCAACTCACAGGAAGAAGACACTCCCAGTCTTTTCAGACTTCTCCAACAGAACCACCTCATTGTTCTACTATCACCAAGGAAGAGGAGCACATGACCAACAAGTATGTTTTACTCTGTCACTATTGATATCATACAAACATATCAAGTCTTGGTCATCATTTCTCACTGCCGTTTATGTACAGGGTTTGTACCAGCTGCTGAGTACTGAACATGATACTCTCACGATCTCGCGAGTGACCTCTAGAGCCGTCTATGCTCACGGCGTATAGGAGTTGACGTTGGCAATACATCTGGCAAAGCGAGACTGGGAGAGCTGGTCAAGTGATGTACTGATGAGGTGAAGCAATACGGTGAGCATCGTCTTTTCTCTGAAGTGCACTGGTCGGCGAACGTGTGGAGACAGAGAGGGTAATAAATCGATATTAAGCGGTGGAAGAAACTGCTTTAATGAGATACTCGGAAGCGATAGATAGTGTTTTTTCGTTGACAGCGAAGTAAACGGCGTACTCTTTGTGTACGCATACACTCGTTGTCGAGAATCTCTTTTAATTGCTAGAGGTGTCTGCTTTAGTTTGCTTACGCGTGCAGGATTGTGGATAGGCTAGGGATGCTCGAAAGTCCTTCACTAAGTATCCGGGTCCATCTAGTCAGGAGATACTTGTGCATGTGTTATCTTATCTTTAGGACAAGGCTGTTGATTTGTTCGAGCATGCGTTTTGTTCTGCCTACTCTCTGTCTCATATCCCTTTAGTCTCACTCTAGCCCCATCCGTCCACCTTCCTTCTCCCATGTGTGGATATTGGTGATGGTGAGAATAGCGGGTGCAGGAACTTTGTAGGTGCTCAGTTGGATAGGGGAGTAGAATTATGCGAATACTTATACACCGCTCGAAGTCCCATTCACAACAGGTTATCACATTCTAACACGTGACAATTTCCGGAGAGTGAGATATGATCACGCGACTCAATCGCCATCGCGTGGACCAAGGTGTCTAAATATATGAGCATAGCCACATCGAGCGCACAGTGATGCCTACATGCCACGTAGCCCATCGTTATAGCTGTTTCGAAAATCATTTTATACTTAGCTGCGCGAGCGAGATTGTTGTCTCTCAAGGGCGACATGAAGTTTTTTGTGCTGCTAGTGATGAGCAGGTTCTGGGTGGTTCAGCCTTGAATGAGTATAGGTAATTGAGTTCATACCCTGTGAGCCTGTCATGCATGATCAGCGTGTGAGGTGGATTCAACAACTCGTCGATCGCTTCTGTCGCTAGCTGATGTCGTGATTGTGGCGGTGCATTGACAGTATCTTCTGCCGACCATATGCGCACTCCACCTCTCGCGCCAGTACCCGCCTACTCACTGCGCTCCTCTGCACCTCCCTCTCTCCGGAGAGCTCTCACATCCTCCCTGCGTCATCTCTTACACTCCTACCTCGTCCGTGAGTTGTGGTGTGGAGAACAAGGAAGTTAATCTCCGCCAAGATTCATGAGTTCAGCTACAGTTTGATCAACTCTCACTCATATTCAGTGCGGTACGTGGACGAAGAGCCACCCTATTTCAATTAGAGTGCGATCCCAGTGAGACACTCTGTCGTGGAACAGCAAGCGTCTCGAACAGGTTCCTACCGACCCAAGCAGCGTACCAAAATGGTTGGAACAATAATTTACACAAATTGGTTGTATAAACATACTATACACACTACAAATATGACTATAAACCGTGCGTCATCTAGTTCACAAAAACACCTATTACAACTAAGCACACCAGTATATATACAGCTACACAGGCTGAGGCATATCCGTTGTTAACATACTATACTGAACACACTATATTTCCCTATGAAATGATCTGTGAAATGATGTTGTGCTTTCACAATCTTTCTCTTCAACTGCACTACCAATTTGTTCGCACTACTGAATATACTATTACAAAGTCATGTGAGTGAGCTAGTGACTGAGCACTCACCCGTCTAAAAATAGAACCATCAGACGAATGGACGATCTCTTGTGGATTCACATCAACAATCTGATGGTACAATACACCACTGATGACAACAGTGAGCAAAAAGCGTCACTTCACGAAAAACTACACTGAACTCAAGAGTACGTCAATACCGTTATAAGTTGGCAGCAATTCAAAGAGAGCACGTGGTCACTAGTACACATGCCAGCCACTAGCCTTTGCATGTATTGCATCAATATAGCCTGGCAGAGCCAAGTCCGATCTCTTGATCTCTCTCAGTGGTACAAACCTGTACATAAAACGGCAGTGAGAAATGATGACCAAGACTTGATATGTTTGTATGATATCAATAGTGACAGAGTAAAACATACTTGTTGGTCATGTGCTCCTCTTCCTGTGGTGATAGTAGAACGATGAGGTGTTCTGTTGGGAGAAGTCTGAAAGACTGGGAGTGTCTTCTTCCTGTGAGTGCAGGCTCCAGCCGACAACGGGTCAGTCTCAGTGTGTGGGTCTGGAGAAGTGGGGGAGGGGAGCAGGAGCGGAGGGAGGGTCGGGGAGGGAGAACACAATCATTAATGAAATTTTGGTGAATTAAACATCGGAGAAAGCAAGCGTCCACTGGGACTTACATAGCATAACTGTGAGTATAATAATGTGACACTGCTATAGACCATAAGTATATACCACCAGCATTTCTGTGCAGTTTTGGAACTTTCTGTGGAGGTACATGTCCACCTGACGAGCACCATCCTCCTCCTCTCCCTCCCCATGTCCTGGGTCTTTCAGAGATATCACCGCTTGTTACCCAGGTCCGTTAAGAAACGTCTCTGAGGGCTACTAATATTGACCCATACAATTGGTGTCATTTGTATTGGAAGAGAGCCCACCTAGTCATCTTAGTAGATGGTACCACTCTATATAGCAGTTACTGTACCACACTACGGATAATATACCCAGCAGATATTGCACCACTTAGCGAACATACTGTTATGCACAAATTTTGTGCTTGCGTTCACTTGCCACTAAATTCATTAGGTGCAGCATGCAAAAACTCTTGGGGCTAACTGACTTTCCTAGTATTAGTGCTATGTACATACAACCTGGCATACAGACATCTGGATACATGTTGTAGTCCCTGGAAGGGTCCACAATCTCGTACACACAGCCTCCAATAAACTCTCATAGTCTATCGCACGGTGTTCGTGGATGCTTCCAACAGTACTGACTGCAGAATGAACAGATTATGAGCCTGCAACAGTGTAGTAGCTAACTGCTGACTTTGGCCTGACGACGCTTCTTGAGTAAGGCCCAACCGTCCACCAGTCCTAATATACTGAAGACCTTCTGAAAGCTAGCTGCTACTGGAATGTGCTGCTAACCTCTTGGTACAATTCAGAGAGAATTATTGTTTCAGTCACTCCTGAAGGGTAGCTGGGTGCATATGATTATGGATACAAACAGCAGTGATTGATAACAATATAGCACGGACTCACGTTTCCAGTACTTTCACAGCCCTTCCGAGAACAAATGACCTGTAGAAGCCAAAGAAATGGGAAATGGAGGGAGTTTTTGTAGTACTACCGCCAGCTTTGATTGCACTTCAATATGCATGCCAGGATTACCATGTTGGAGGTTTTACAACTTTTTTCAGCCCCCTCAGTTTCTTTTGTAGCCTGTAAATTATCTCCTCCATACCCAAAAGCACACTCCACGAGGAGAGAGCATGAACTTGCGCATGCGCACATCCGGCAACGCTAGCGTGCTCACGTGTGTTCGCGTGATGCTCACGTGACCGACCTCGTTCTCTCTCTTTGTGCGGGAAAGAGAAGGGCTCTATAGACCTGGTGGATTTATCGTTCTCCCGAGGTGGTCAGGAGACAATACGGCCGGGAGAAGACATTAAAGTCTCAACCGACTGTCTCTGTTCACTTGGACGACAAAGAAGAAGAGATTCAAGAACAGAAACGGACAGTTGTAGGGACTTTAGGCGGCCATCACACGTCCTGCTCTGACTTTTATCAGTACCTCTAGCTCTCTTCTAGTCGGTTACTGATACTGTCTAGTCGTGTGTGTGTGTACGGCGCCCCGTCCTACTGGAGAAGAACATTGTAGTCCTAAAAGCGATTTTAGGACTGCGTTTGAGTGGACTGGTGAGAAAAAAGTTAGCGATTGATTCCCTCCCGTTTGTGTGAGATGTGTTTTGGTTCCATAAGTGATTCTGTTCCCCGTCGCGAGGAGATAGCTAGCGTATGAGCCATGAGGGTGAACTATAACAACTTGAATGAATTCACCCATAAGCCATGAACTTTACCGTTTGTATGCCTCTTCCACTGTCGGCGTTGTGTAGCAACTAGTGAATGGCTAGCTGGCTGCGCCACCGCCGAGCTTATTGGTAGCCACGCGGTCGGGTCGAGTCTGCCAGCAAAAAGGGAAGGTGAAGGGGCCGCGCGTAGCTCTCCCGCGTGAACTGAAGTCGAGGCGCCGGGAAAGCATGGCTTTTGTGAGTGTGAGAGGGGATTGAGAACACTACCCAGAAATGGTTAGGGAGCTCTGTTTTCTGTTTTACTTTTGTAGGACATTACGTCGCGATGTCGACAACAGCAAGCGCTCAAGCACCAGCCGCCACGGTAAGACTTACAGGCGCTGATATGGCGCCAACTACTATACTTCCTGTCGTGGCATGTCCCTACATGCATACCCAGAGAATTACATACATTAGTTAGAGGCAAAGGGCCAATATGGAAGTATACTCTTTCTACTCGTGTGTGTACATGTACGTACTCCCTATTGCAGGCTGCCATTGACCCACACAGTGTCCTGGAACAGTTGGACCCTCTCCTGGGGCAGACCGGGTGCATCAGGAGCTCCAAAGAAGTTGGGAAGATTGTCAGGTACATACGTACAGTGTATACACACAGCACGTAAACCGATGTGTTCATTGCCCGACTAATTGTGAGGGTCGGGTACACACGGGTTGCATGTTACCTGTGGGAGGTGGGCTAATTGTCTTGTCTCTCTTTCTCTCTACGAAAAGCCTAAGTGTACGATACCCGTGTGGGACAGCTGTCACCGTGCAAGACTCCCTTTTCATATTATGTCCTTCAACCATGCAACTGGATTAGTCAGGTGTGCCTTTATGAGAGACGCATACAGTGTACTTGTGAATGGCTTAAACTGTTCACGGAACAGATGGAAGTAGAGAGGCAAGTTACCCGCTGGAGTGACATTTTATAGTACTTTAGAACGTTGTGATGAACGATGCTCAAAGAAACGCTTGTCAGTTTTTTGTATGCATCTTGCCAGTCAACCACGTCCGCGAGTGCTGCTTCTTGTGCACATTATTAACTGGTGAGCTGTATATATTTCTCACTCCTTATGTTGCCAAATGTTTGGAAACTTTACTCTGCTGTTCGTGGTGTTTAGCTGCCATAGACGATGTGTGCTAGCGGTGTTGTTAGCATAGGCAGAGCAGGAAAAAGAAGCCAAGAGCCTTGTGGCATAATATGCTTATTAGTTCACTAGAATCCACGGATTCTGATGAATCCAGTGCAGTGCATTTTATATGCTCCACGTTGATTTTCTACTGGGTAAATCGGTTTCCTTATACCGCTTTTGTGAGTGTGAGGACATTACATCGCGTCATTTCCTTATATATACCGTTGGATTAGATTATTGTGGGGCCTTCAATTATGTGGTTCCTTTCCTCTCGTGCGTGTGTGTGTGCGTGTGTGTGTCTATTTTGAACATACCGTTGAAAGAAACCAGTGTATGTATGTATGTACATGTACCTGAGTTAAGCTGCCGTTGTAAGGTTCACTGCCAATTCCCCCGGTAGTGCTACACCGCTGGGTAGTATGTTTATTGCCGTGGCAGATTAATTTGGATTAAGCAGATCGCCATGTACAACTCATTTGACAATATTTCGCATTGCCCTGTCGTGCTATACTGTGTTGGTAAGTATGATGTGAGGATTCTATCCGCGCAGTACGACGCAATGGAGGCATGTGTAAACTTAGAACATAAGACTAAACACTGTACAACCTTTTGGCACATAATCTCCCCCCTCCTCTCTCTCTCTCTCTCCCCGTCTCCCACTACAGCCTGATGAAGACAGCTCAGTTGTTGGTGGTCCGGATTGTCCTTCTCAACATCATCAAGGCCACCAGAGCTCCATCCACACTTGACAGGTTAGCGTGCTCGGTTTTTGGCCAATTGGGGGTAATACATGAGGTAAACTGAAAAGTTGGGTAAACCACATAAAGAGTGAGGGTGCACTCTGTAAAAGGAGTGACTCCATATCAGCAAGTCCAAGGTTAAAGGAAGTTGCTGATTGTTTGTTGACTGGTTTACTAGATGTGCTGTCAGTAGTCAGTATATAGTCAGTAGGGTAAATTTGATTAGTGGGCTTGAGAACCTTCCTAGTACAGATGTACCACAAAATCTTAGATTAAAGATACCAGGCATGTTTGTAAGTCAGTATTTGCTCATACCAGCCTTTACTGTAACAGGGTGGTGAGCAGAAGTCTAGTACACATACCAGAGATAAAGTTGTGGTCATATTTAGTGGTGTTGGAACCATCCTATGTATATACATTGTGGAAGATGTTGTATGTTTCCATGGCCTTTTTTTGCTCCTTGCGATAAAACTGGCAGAAAAATGCGACGACATACTTACACAGTCAGTTCAGTTTGCTAAACGTTTCTCCGAACTTATAGAACGAGGAAGATGTTCAGTGAGTGTGTGTTTTGAGCCACTGTGGAACACATCGCTGCTTTATACGCACGATGTGTGTTGTTGTGGTGTTTTGGCATGCCGTCTGGGCGTCTGTTCAACTGTTTGTCCTTCCAAATTGGCACGCTCAATTGCTGCATGAACAATCTAGACCCACGTACCGCATTCAGTTGTTGTGGTTTTCAAGTGAAAGTGTGTCAAGTTGCTCTCTACTGTACATGCCACAGGTTCATGGATGGTGGATGGCCAGTACTGAATGCGTGGCTGGCAGAGGCCAAGAAAAAACAGGACTTTGCTGTACTTGTCGGGGTTTTACAGGTGTTGTGTGTGTGTGTGTGTGTGTGCGCGTGTGTGTGTGCATGCGTGT